AGTGCAGTGGTGCCATCTCGACTCACTGCAGCCTCCGCCTCCTGGGTTCACACTGTTGTCCTGTCTCAGCCTCCCGAGTAGCTAGGACTACAGGCGCCCACCACCACGTCCAGCCAGTTTTTTTGTATTTTTAGTAGAGACAGGGTTTCACCATATTGGTCAGGCTGGTCTCGAACTCCTGACCTCAGGTGATCTGCCCGCCTCAGCCTCACAAAGTGCTGGGATTACAGGTATGAGCCACTGCACCCAGCTGACTTTTTATTAGATTTCGAATCTGGTTAGCCAGCAACTTACTAATTAGATGTGGGCTTTCATTCTTCAGAAGAAAACCATTTGGCTGGGTGTGGTGGCTCACACCTGTAATCCCAACACTTTGGGAAGCCCAGGAGGTAGGATGACTTGAGCCCAGGAGTTTGAGACCAGCCTGGGCAACATAGTGATACCTCCTCTCTACAAAAAATAAACAAGATTGCCTGGGTATGGTGGTGTGAGCCTGTAGTCCCAGCTACTTGGGAGGCTGAGGCAGGAGGATTGCTTGCAGACAGGAGGTCAAAGCTGCAGTGCGCTATGATTGCACCATTGCACTCCAGCCTGGGTGACAGAGTGAGACCTGTCTCAATAAAACAAACAAAAAAAACCTATTCCTATTTTTTGATGGAATATTTTCTTTCTAAAGTGTCTTAGTGCCTTTCTTCCCACTATCTAAATAATCTCTCCCTCCACAGTATGGCTGTGACCCGATCCAAAGACGCTCCTCCTTTCGGCCCCCCCATCCCCAGTGGAACCACATTCCGCAAATCCGACGTCTTCAGAGACTTCTTGCTGGCCAAGGTGATTAACGCTGAGAATGCCGCGCACAAGTCCGACAAGTTCCACACCATGGCCACCAGGACCCGCCAGGAGTATCTCAAGGACCTGGCCGAAAACTGTGTCTCCAACACCCCCATCGACTCCACTGGCAAATTCAACCTCATCTCCCTGACCTCCAAGAAGAAGGAAAAGACAAAAGCGCGGGCCGGCGCTGAGCAGCACAGCGCAGGGGCCATCGCCTGGAGGGTGGCAGCCCAGGACTACGCCCAGGGGGTGGAAATCGACTGCATTTTGGGAATTTCCAATGAGTTTGTGGTGCTCCTGGACCTACGCACCAAGGAGGTGGTGTTCAACTGCTACTGCGGGGATGTCATTGGCTGGACTCCAGACTCCTCCACACTCAAAATATTCTATGGACGAGGGGACCACATCTTCCTACAGGCGACAGAGGGCTCTGTGGAGGACATAAGGGAGATCGTGCAGAGACTGAAGGTAAGGGCAAGAGCCTGGCAACAGGGCGGCGGTTTGTATGGTTTCAGGCTCAGGAACCACTGAAATATCTCCCTAGCCCAGTCAGTTAGGCTAAGACATGCACTGGCCCCAAGAGAATCACAGTTGTCACTGACACACTAGACATCTTGTGGGTTCTGCAGCTAGGTTCTTCCTCTGGAAGATTTTGTGCCAGAGATCTAAGGATCTTCATGCTGTTACCTTGGAAAGACAAGAGATACTTATTAACCTTGGACATTGATAGAAAGTATAAGTTTAAGCTTAGGTTAAAAATGTAGGCCAGGCCAGGCACAGTGGCTCATGCCTGTAATCCCAGCACTTTGAGAGGCCGAGGTGGGCAGATCACGAGGTCAGGAGATTGAGACCATCCTGGCTAACACGGTGAAACCCC